CAATGAAAGAAGAAAAAAAGAGCTTGGGATGTAGCTCAGTGTGGGGGCCCTGGGTTCCATCCTTAGTATAAAAGTAAATAAATAAAGCAGCACAGAGACAGGAGGATGGGGATTTGCTCCACCTTCAGAGACTGTGTGCTCAGCAAGAACTCCAAGAACTCAGTGCCAGGGAACCAAAGTCACTAAAATCAAACCCACTGAGGAAGGGGAGAGATCCAGCCTTCTCCGGAACGAAGCAGGAGCCATTTCAAATGATTCAGGGCACATCCCAGGGACAAATGCATGCATAGCATAGTCCCTAGGGTGACTTAGTGACACTTTTTCTCAAATTGTCGTGGAAAAGTACTACCCTGAGGAGGTGGGGCTGATTTGATTGTGAGGCAGGTGGTGCTTAAGGAGGTCACAGAAAAAAGCAAATTCAGCCTCCGCAAAGGATGACGTCAGACACTGTGTCAGCCTCCTCCCCAGCCCAGGGGTGGGGTGTGTGTGTGTGTGTGTGTGTGTGTGTGTGTGTGTGCGCTTGAGGGGGCAGGGAGGTGCTGTCCCAGCTTCCCATGGAGAGCAAGGGCTGGTCTTGACTCACCAGGTAGCCCAGGGTGGCTTTAAACTGGGTTTACAGATGTGTACCATCACCATGCCCAGCAGTTGAGAGGGTTCTGGTAATTGAGGTTCTTCAGAACAACTATTTTAGGGGCTGGAGATTTAGCTCAGCGGCGTAAGTGCCTGCCTTACAACAGGCAGTTGTGAGTTCAATCCCTGGTACCGATAAAAAGGAAAAAGACAAAAAAACACCACAAACAACTATTTTATCTAAGGTGTCAATTCAGTGTCATCAATTTGCTTCTAATAATTTTTTTAAAGTCTGTAGAATCTGTAATGATGTCAAACGCCCTTTCTTTTCTGGTATTAGAGACTAAATCCAGGGCCTTCTCACTGAGCTTTATATGCCTGGTGACCTTTGATTGGATAAAGTGTTGTGAATTGTACCTCTTTTTTTTAGTAGTAGAGATTGAACTCATTGTCCTCACACTGGCTACATCCCCAGCCTTTTTGTTGTTTTTTATTTTGAGACATGGTCTCACTAAGTCACTGAACTACTTAGGCTGAGGTTGAATTTGGGATCCTCTTGTCTCAGCCTTCCAGAGTGCTGAGATTATAGGCCTGTGGGACCATACCAGCTACTTACTAATTCATTTTATGAGGCCAGCATCGTCCTCATATCCTAGCCAGGCAAAGCCATCATAGAAAAACAAAAGCACAATAAATATCCCTCATAAACATATTTATGAGGGATACAACAAGATATGATTTTTTGTCTTTTTGAGACAAAGTCTCACTGTGCAGTTCAGGCTGGCCTTTAGCTCACTTTGTAGCCCAGGCTGGTCTGAACTTGCAACAATTCTCTTGCCTCAGCCTCCCAAATGCTGGGATTACAAATGTATGCCACCATGCCCCACAGATATAAAATTTCTATGTATACTTTTAGCAAGTAAAATTTTATGATATTGTAAAGATAATACATCATGGGCTGGGCATTTAGCTCAGTGGCATAAGCACCTGCCTGGCAAGCATGAAGTCGTGAGTTTGATCCCTAGTACCGCAAAAAAAAAAAAAAAGATAATACATCATGCCAGGATAGTGACCCATGACTGTAATCCAAGTTGAGGCAGGAGGATCTCTAAGTTTGGGATATTGATTGTTCTCTGCTTATCTTAAAATTAAAAAAAAAAAACCAAAGATCTGGGATATAGCTCAGAGGGAAAGAGCTCTCTGGATTTGAGTCCTAGTATTCTTCCCACTCACATAAGGTATAAACTTGGTCTCAGAAAGTGAACAGCTGTGTGGGAGTGCACACCTGCAGTCCCAGCACATAGGAGGCTGAGGCAGGAGCGAGTTCTGGGCCAGCCTGGGCTATATAGAAAGACGTTGTGTTAAAAAGGGGAGGAGGAGTGGCAAAATAGAAAGCAGACACTGTTCATGTATAAACAGAGAGTGGAGTCTGTTCAGTGTCGGAAGGTGAGGTGGAGACAATTTCACATTTGCAGGGCGCAAGGCTCAAGATACGGATGTCATTTCCCCTGGTCAAGTTCTCTTATTAGCTCATGAACTGAGTGCAGCTTCAATCAAAATTCCAGTGAGATTTTTAAAAATGCTATTTGACAAGATTTTAAAGTCGATATGAGAGTCAATGTTATGACTAGCAAAGGAAGTTTTGTAAACAGAGTAGAGAACAAAGCAGAGAGATGTGATTGAGTGAAAATTAAAGCAAGTCAGAAAGACAGAATAGTTTTGAAAACTTGTCTTACACAAGAGTAGAACAGTAGAAACAAATAGTTTCCAGAAGTTGACTTGTGTATTTATAGAAATTCATTTTTTTTGGTTGTTGTTTGTTTTGAAGAGGGTCTTGCTCTGCAGATCAGGCTGGCTTTGAACTCACTATGTAGCCCAGCTTGGCCTTGAATTTGCTGTGATCCTCCAGCCTTGGCCTCCTGAGTGCTGGGATTACAGGTATATGTCACTATGTCCAGCTACCACCATTTTCTTTTAAGACACACAGAACAAAGATAGAGTCAGCCTGGCGTGGTGGCCCACACCTGTAATCCCACTACTTGGAGGCAAGCGGGAGAAGCTCTTTGAGTTGGAGGCCAGCCTAAGCAACATAGCTCCTGTCTCAAAAAACAAAGAAACAAACAAATGAATAAAAAAGGAAACAAAAGGCAGTCAAGTTTTGAACATGTCTATAGTCCCAGCACTCTGGGAGGCTGAGGCAGGAGGATCACAAATTTGGGTGCATCTGGGCAACTTAGTGACCTAATGAGACTGTGTCTCAAAAAATAAAGAACAGGAGAGGCAGCTCAGTCAGAATGCCCTGGGGTCAATCCCCAATACTACAGAAGAAAAAAAAATCCACTTAAATACCCCCCCTCCCCGTTTTGATAATAAAAAAGAAAAGTCCCATTGTAACTATGAATCCAGCTTCTGTTGGCTAAATTGCCTTTCAGGCTGCTGTGCCCAGATTCCCGAGATCAACGATGGTCCAACACTGCCTCCCAGTGGCTGGAATTCACATTGCAGTGATGTTCTCCTGTCTAAACCAAGGTCGTTTTTTGTTGGACATCCCTTAGGAATAAAATGTTTTAGGGCTTTAGATTTTTAAATTTTAGCAAGAAAAAAGTTTTAAAAAGCCTTTTGTCAAAAAAAGCCTTCTGTATGTTGTTAGTACCATTTTTTCAAAAGAATGAGTGTTTTTGTTGTTTCTTTGTTTTTGAGTCAGAGCCTTGCTATGTAACACAGGCTGGCCTCAAATTCAGCGATCCTTCTGCCTCAGCCTCCAGCGTGCTGGGATTAGAGGTGTGTATCACCACACCTGGATTTTTTTGGTTTTGTTTTTGTGTTGGTTGCCCTTGTGGCTGAAAGGAGTCCTGATTCTGCCAGGACTGCTGGGCAGGAGACGGAGGCCACCCGAAGGGACCGCAGCAGTGGCATCTGTGCCCTGGCCCCAGCCCCACTGGGTGAAAACTGCGTTTCTGGCTGCCAGCTCCATCTCTCTTCTGAGTGGCTCATGTGTGCCTCTGCATCTGAGGTTCTGGGTAGAGATTTAAAGATATATGGCCCATACTTGGGACAGGAAGTTTGAGGCACTATCAGCTCGGGATGTCAGAGCCATCACCAAGACTGAGGGCACTTGTGTGGCCCTGTGTGCCGGGCAGGGTCGGTCAGTGGAAGCCAAACATTTCCCAAGGCCAGGGCATGGGCGGGTTCCCTCTGCAGCTTCCTCCTCGTCCTGAGTGTCCTAATTCACAGCCACCCCACGGCCAAACAGCAGGCGCCCTGCCTCCCCGCTTAGCGCTGTGGGATCTGGGATCTTTGAGGCCGAGGGGTGGGGCTTAGAATACAGCATTTGCGCAGCATGTATGCGGGGAGGCTGGGTTAGAAGTTCACTAATTAGCCTCTAAAGAGAAGTCAGAAGCTAGGTGTGGCAGCACACGCATGTGAGCACAGCACTTGGGAGGCTGAGGCAGGAGGATCACAGGGAGTTCAATGCCAAACTTGGGCTCCATAGTGAGACCCTATCTCAAAAAACAAACCAAAACAAAGCAAAACAAAAAAAAACAAACCAAACAAAATCCAAGTAGCTCCACAGATGGTAAAACCGTACCCATATTTCTCCATATAATGATCACACTTGCTTTTAAATGGATAAAAACGGCTGGGTATTTAGCTCAGTGGCATACGTACCTGCTTGGCAAGCATGAGGTAGTGAGTTCGATCCTCGGTACAAAAAAAAAAAAAAAAAAAAAAAAAAAGGTTAAAAACATATTCCAGGCTAACACCATAATCAGAACTGGTCTTGGGAGTGGATGAAAACTGGGTGAACTCCAGGTATCACGGAATGTAGACAGCGAGGGAGAGAGAAAAAGAAGTGAGAGGCTGGATGCTCGCCCTTGGCATCTGGGAACCAGCAGGGATCACAAGGGTTTGCAAGAGATGCTTTGAGCAGTAAGATCCAAACCTCTCACCTTATTAAAAAAGGCATTGCACGTATTAATTTTTCTCGTGGCATTGGGGCTAGAACGCAGGGTTTTAAGCACAGAACTACAACCTCAAGCATTCCCACGTTTTCTGGAGACTGGGTCTCCTTATTTTGCTAAGTTGTCAAGGCTGAGCTCCAATTTGTAATTTTTCTGCCTCAGCCTCCCACAATGCTGGGGTTACACTCATGCTGGTTTTCTTTTTTTAGCCCATCATTTTAGAGGAGAAATTCAGGGATGGGGGAAGAGGGGACAGATGCAGCAAAGCCAGATGAGAAATCACTTAGGCTTGTGAAAATCAGGGAACACAAAAGGAGTTCAGTGGTGGAGGGTGGGGCACATGACCCGCCCCTGTCCACGGGCTTTCTTCTGCTGAGCGAGAGGGAGTTAGTTGGTTGCCAGATCTCGCGATACCTAGGCTTCCCTTACGTTCTTTTCCTTCAGCCCAATAACAAACATGGCCGCGGCAACAAGGCTTTTCCGTCAGGACGTGGGGTCAAGGGTTACGCAAAAGATGGCTGCCCCTAGGAGTAGCTGAGACGTGCGGAGGAGGATGGCTCTGGTGATCCTGGGTCGCGTGGGGCGGCGGCTGAAGTGGTCCGGGCCTGGACGCAGGCACTGGACGCCGGCCGGACGCTCGCGAAGTCGGCGCGAGGCGGCGGAGGCCGAGGCGGACGCGCCTGTGGTCCAGTACGTGGGCGAGCGCGCCGCTCGCGCCGACCGCATTTTCGTGTGGGGCTTCAGCTTCTCGGGGGCGCTTGGCGTCCCCACCTTCGTGTTGCCTGGGGCCGGGCCCGAACCCCGCGCCGGCTTACGGCCGCGTCGCAGGATCCAAGCCGTTCCCTACCGCCTGGAGCTCGACCAGAAGGTGAGGGCCGCGGCGTCCTTTTCCCCGCCCGACGGGGAAGTAGGGGTCGCCGGGGAACTAGGACTTGGAGGGATCGGCGACCCGAGCCGCTTGTGACCCCGGAAGGGAACCGCGTCAGAGGCCGCCGCTGAGACACACGCGGTGCTGGGCAGTGTCTCTGGCTTGGTATCCCCTGGAGTTGTCACCTACCTTGTAGGGGAGGAGAGGCGGGGACTGAGAGTCTGTGGACAGATCCTCAGCTGGTAGGTGTGTGCGGCGGGACGCGGGCTAGGCTGCCCCCCACATGGCCTTTCTCTTTTCCTCATTTATTTGCTGGTGATACTGGAAATGGATCCCAGGGCTTTTGTGCTGAGCTGCATCCCCAATTCTTATTTTATTCTATAATTAAGAAAAATAAGACAGGAGCTCGCTAAGTTGTACAAACTGGCGTGGAACTTGCGTTCCTCCTGCCTCAGCCTCCCTGAGTACTGGGATTATAGGGGCGCGCTCCCATGGACCTTGGCACCATGGAAGGAACATGGTGCTTTGCAGAGGACACGGGGCGTGGTTCTGTTAGTCCCCTGTGATAAATGAGAGGCTCTAGATCCTGAGGCGACCGCCGAGACTGAGCCGGTGGAAGTCAGGCTGGCTGCAGTACAGTGCAGGATTCAGCAGTCATCCTACAGTCCGGACCCCTCTAATCAGGGGACTCCGCGGGCACTCTTTTCCAGATTTCCTCTGCCGCCTGTGGCTACGGATTCACACTGCTGTCCTCCAGAACCAAGGACATCACGAAGGTCTGGGGCATGGGGCTCAACAAAGACTCGCAGCTTGGATTTCACAGGAGCCGGAAGGATAAAGGTGAGCACTGCTCGGGGCTCTTTGCCACCCCAGTGAAGGGACAGACAGGGGAGAGCACTTCCAGCACTTCTGGACTCTGCTCACAGCCCTGAGCCTTTTGGTACGAGGGCAAGCAGGGGCCCTGTTTGTCTCGGAACCCACAGTGTCAAGTGTGCGTTCAGGGGCAAAGTCGATGATGAGGGCCTGAAGCTGAGGCAGTGTTCTCACGTTTGAAACCTCTGCTATAAAATGTCAGAAATAGTAGACATCAGTCTGTTTCCTCAAACGGACCGTTAGTGGGAGATAGTGGCACATGCCTGTAATCACAGTACTCTGGGAAGCTGAGATAGAAGGATTGCAAGTTTGAGCTCAGCAATTTAGTGACTTGGTGAGACCTAAATAAAGCCATTTTAAAGCCAGGTTAGAGATATAAATCTAGGTCAGTGTGGAGGCCCTGCTTTCAGTCCCCAGTACTACACCCCCCCCCAAGCTTGTCTGTAAAGATTAAAGATAATACATATCAATGTTATTTATCACATAATGAAGAAATTACCCTGGAGTACATACGAGACAAACTTTTCGTTTTTCCTCCCCCTTCCCTGGTTCATTTGCAAATGTGTCTGCATAATTTAGATTGTAGTATATATTTTGATTTCACTTTTTTCGCTTAGTTCCTATATCAGAAACATCTTTTTATAACTCAGTAGTTCTAGTTAACCTTGAACTCATTATTGGAGGCCGGGCTGGCCTCTGAATTTTCAGCAGTCCTCCTGCCTCAGTCTCCCGAGTGCTAGGATTACAGGTGTGCATCATCAGGCTTCTCCGCTTTTTCCTCAGTACGTTTAAAGCAGATCCCAACATTATTTCATTTGTAAACTTTCAGTCCATGCCTACAGAAATAAGGAGTTTTAATTCTCTGGCACTAGGGCGATATACTAGGTGGGAGCTAGTTATTGAGGCACAGCCTGGGCCCTGGGTTTAAGAAGACAAGCTAGGCATGGTGGTGCAAGCCTGTATTCTCAGCACTTGGGAGGCTGAGGCAGAAAGATCACTGCAAGTCTGAGACCAGCCTGGGCTCCAATAGTGAGTTCAAGGCCACCTGAGAACTGCATGATAAGACCTTGTCTCAAAAAGACCAAAAAAATAGACAATGGAAGCGCGTTTTTTTCTGGGCCCGAAGAAGTGTGATTCCTCACTGAGACCCTGCTGCTCTTCCACAGTCCGGGGTTACGAGTATGTGTTGGAGCCCTCACCTGTGGCGCTACCTCTGGACCGGCCCCAGGAGACTCGGGTGCTACAAGTGGCCTGTGGCCGTGCGCACTCCCTTATCCTGACTGACGGAGAAGGAGGTGAGGTGCCAACGCTTACTGACCCTTCTGATCTCTGGGTCTCCATGGACAACAAGTGTGAGCTAGCTGCCAGGGCCCGTGCCTGTGATCTCAGCTGCTTGGCATGCTGAGGCAGGAGGATCACAAGTTCAAGCTCTACCTGCCCCACTGTGGGAGTCTCTGTCTTGCTCTGCCTGCCCCACTGAGGGAGGCTGTGTCTCCATGGTAAAGAGCCTGGTGGAGCAGGCCCTGTGTGCTGGCCCTAGGGACAAGATGGGAGGAGGACAGGACAGAAGGGACCGGTGGGGAGGGTCATGGGGCTCTGCTGGGAAGTCCCCAAGCTGGGCTGTGGGCAGGCGCCCTTTCTGCTGCCAGCGACTCTTGTCGGTACCCTAGGGGAAGGATGGCCTTGTGGCACCTTTCACATTTACCTGCCATTTGAACCTCAGGACAGGAAATCACAGAGGTGGCAGCTGGAAGTGCTGTAAAGAGGGGACCAAGCACCAAGGGATGCAGGCTCAGGGTCGGCAGGCCTGACTTCCTGCGGAGGCTGGGGTGTTGGGGACCAACCTGGCTAATGATGGGCTGTCCTTTAGTCTTCAGCCTAGGAAACAATGCCTACGGGCAGTGTGGACGGAAGGTGGTGGAGGACGAGGTGTATAGGTGAGTCTTGAGGGCCAAGCAGGCCGTGAGGTCCCCACACATGGATGGGTACCCCATTTGCCAGCTTGGTTCGGGGGAGTGTGAGGAGCACACTGAGTACACGTGTGACCCTTTGTGTTAGTGTTTGTCACTCTGTTTCACCAGCCTGCGGCACACAGCGGTGTCCCCACACCCCAGCCTCCTTCCTGTGCTTCCTTTCCCACTAGTTCTCTGCGTGACTTGGCCTCTGGCCACTTGTTAGAATCACCTTGTGTTTGGTGGAGTTCAGTCTCCTGTCCAGTCCAACTCCGCCCAACTTCGGGCCCTGGAAGTCAATCTCGTTTCTTGGTGTGGGATAATAATCCCGCTCAACTGTGAGGATCTGCACCCTCTACCTCACATTTACCTCTGCCATCCCCAGATCCCTTCTCCCGCAAGGTCCTGTTCTTGTTCCCAGTCACCTTTTATTTACTCTTGTATCTTGGGTTTCTCATGTTAGAGAAACTGTGATGTCACCTTTCTAAGTCTAATTTATCTTAGCATGGTAGCCTCAACGTGCATCCAACTCCCCACAAAGGACTTAGCCCTGTGCCTCTTCAGGGCAGAGTAGTGTTGTGTGTGGCAGCATTTCTGCCTTGGGCACTCCTCTGTTGGTGTCCTGCAAGGTCCCGTCCAGCTTTGCCTGTGTGAATGGTGCAGCTGTGAGCTGGGGCAGTGGGAGTACTGCGCATGGTGTCTGTCCATGTGTCTGTGTTTTTCGGGCAGGTGCCCAGCAGAGACAGCACCAGCAGCTCTGAGTTTGGGCGTGTGAGCTTCTGACCCCTCTCCTCCTTCCCTGTAGGGAGAGCCGCAGAGTGCACAGGATGCAGGACTTCGATGGCCGTGTGGTCCAGGTAGGGGAAGCACTGGCTAGCAGTGTGGGTCCGAATTATGGGCCCTTGGTGCACACATGACTGCCACCTTGTGGAGCATGCATCAGTGAGGGCCTAGTTGTGGGCTGTGGGGCGGGGGCGGCAGGGAAAAGGCTGAGGTTCTCAGAGTGTGGAGTACAGAGCGGTAGGATGCTGGAAGCGGCAGTGCTGGGCATTGCAGGGCCATGTGCCCGGAAGGACGCAGAGATGGCAGCACTCGACCCAGGGTTCATCTAAGTGCCAGATGGGGGCCGCAGCTGCGACCCATGGTGCAGGGTACTCAATGCCACACACGCCCCAGGGGTGGAGATGACATTGGCTGCAGTGGGTAGCAGGTGGGGTACAGGTGGGGAGCAGCGGGGGCACTGAGCAGGTGTGGGCAGGGGCTGTGGGAATGTTGGGGGGCTCAGGAGGTGGTGGTAGAGTCCTGCGGCCCTGAGTTGTCTCCTGTCGTGCTCTGTCTGCCAGGTTGCCTGTGGACAGGATCACAGCCTGTTCCTCACGGACCGGGGCGAAGTCTACTCTTGTGGCTGGGGCGCTGATGGGCAGACAGGTAGGGTGCTGTCCCCAGCAGTGTGCGGTCTGGGCCGTGTGACATGGCTGTGGCTGTGTGTTACAAGAAGGTGCCATGGCCCTGTGTTGGCAGGGCCCTCTCTCACCTCCGGGCAAATGCTGTTCTTTGCCTCCTGTTCCCTTCATTCCTAGATCCCCTAGAAATGAACCGAGGAAGTGCTCTCAATAGACTTGGAGTCTTGGGCTCCTTGTTTTAGTACCAGGGATCGAACCCAGGACCTTTGCATACCTCTCCGTTCTTTTGTTTTTCGAAACAGGATCTCACTAAGGCTCTAAATTACTCAGCTGCAATCCTCCTGCCTCAGTGTCCTGAGTGCTGGGATTACAGATGTGTGCCACCACACCTGGCCATAATTAGGCACGTGAAGTCACATGTGCCCTAGGAACATGTTGTTATATGTTTATAATCGCAGCACTGTAGGAGGCTGAGGCAGGAGGATCACTGTGAGTTTGAGGCCAGCCTGCACAACATAGTGAGACCATATCTCAACCCCCCCGCCAAGTGTGTATGTACCAGTTATGATTATGTCCTTTTTTCCTCTGAGAACACTAAGGAAGGAAAGTGTGTGCCCACAGGAATAGGCCTCTTAGGCTTGGCTCATCGCAGGGCCGAGTAAGTTTGCACGAGGGTGAATAATGAAGCATTTCCCGCCACCCTAGGTCTGGGCCACTACAACATCACCAGTGTGCCCACCAAGCTGGGCGGAGACCTTGCCGGAGTGGAGGTTGTCCAGGTCGCCACTTACGGTGACTGCTGCCTGGCAGTGTCAGCCGAGGGAGCCGTGTTTGGGTGGGGAAACTCCGAGTACCTGCAGCTGGCATCTGTCATGGAATCCACCCAGGTACAGTGCCCTGCAGCCAGGGCCTGGTGGGCCTCTCCAGGTGGGAGGCTGAGGCAGGAGGATCATTGTAAGTTTGAGGATAGCTTGGCCTCAAAGTAGGACCCTGGGGATGCAGCACAGAGACCATCTGAAGCCATCAAACAAGGTGGAAAAGGCTTTCTGTATGGTGCATGTGGCTCAGCTCCCTGGGAGCCCAAGCAGAAGAAAACGTGACGTCCAGCTTCCTCAGAGGTTAGCATTGCCTCTCCTCTTCCGAGGCTTGGGAGCATGTATCTCGTGGCTTTCCTGACATATGACCCAAGACCCACTGGATTAAACTACACACATTTCTCAGGTCCCAGATTGTATGACCCTTGGGCCCAGCAGTGTTCAGCTGGGTGTCTTGGCTGTGGGTCCCCAAGGTGACTGTCACCTTAGTTTGCTGTTACAAGAAGGTGCCATGGCCCTGTGTTGGCAGGGCCCGGCCTCACCTTCCTCTGTCATGGCTCATTCGGGGACTGCTTTGTGAGCCCCCCAGCACTTGCACAGAGGGCCCACATTTTCTGCTTTTGTACTGAAAGGGCAGTGGCGGCCACTTGTTTGGGCTGGAATTGTGTCCTGAGAATCAGGTCGCTAGATCTGGCCATATCGCAAGACAGGATTACTCGGGAGACTGGGCCATGCAGAGTTGTCTTGGAAATTCTGATACAGTCTTGGTTTTGGTTTTTGTTTTCTGAGGTAGTGAGGATTGAACCCAAAGCCTTCACACTGAGCTACTTCCCTGGTTCATTTTTATATTTTATTTTGAGTCAGGGTCTCACTAAGTAGCTAAGTTGCCGGGGTCTGGGCTGGGCTCACACTTGACAGTCCTGCTGCCTCAGCCCCTCTGCAGTGCTGGGATTACCATGCCCAGCTTGCTGTTCCTTTTTGTTGACTTTCCGCTGTGGCCCAGCCACATGTATGCTGACTCCCCAACATGCATGGGCTCTGACAGCTCTGAGGACCCTGCCTCTCACCTGGTGTCACCAGGCATGGAACACCCCCCCTTCTCTCCATCCTGGCTCTGCCCTGGGCCCCTGGCTGCTTCCTCCCCTCTCTGGGGTGCCGCCCTCCCTCACTGCTGCTCTGGTGCAGCACAGTGCCTGCCTGAGCCCCATGTCGGGCACCGTGCATTCCTGAGTCCTCCCTTGGCCAGATGAGGGCATCTTCTCTGCCAGGTGAGGCTCTGTGAGACTCTTGCCTGCCGAGTCTTGGTCAGCACAAGTGTAATTGTTGACCTTAAGGTTTGGGTTTTGATTTTTTGAGGCAGGGTCTCACAGTGTGATTCAGGCTGGCCTCAAACTCCTAGTGATTCCCCTGCCACATCCTCCTGAGTGCTGGGATGGTAGGCGTGTACCTCACGCTTAGTTTGATGCTAGTTTTGAGTGCCAGCCACCTCCTCTGCTAGACCAGGTCTCCCCAAGGGTGGGACTCCGGTGTCTTGCCGTCGTCGCAGCCCCTTGTCACAGTGCCAGTGTGCGCGGGTATACAGTGGGAGTCGGCTCTCCCAGCATGTGTGCTGACCTCGAGATCCCCGTTCCTGCCACAGGTTAATGTTCCCCGGAGCCTGCCCTTCTCTGGAGTGGGGACAGTGAAAGAGGTGGCCTGTGGTGGGACAGGTTGTGCCATGCTGAACGGTGAGGCCCCGTCCGTCAGTGACTGGCATGCATTGTGGAGCAGAGGTGGGGAAGTGGCCGGGAAGGGCAGGGGTCATAGTTGTGTGCTGTGTGTGGGGACCCTGGGGTGAGCACGTGCTGCGTCCTTCCTCTCAGCCTGGGCCGGAGATCCTGCCTCTCCTCCAGCCACAAATAAAACAAACTGAGGCCGGAGGATGGCAGGTCCAGCGCAGCTGCACAGTGTCTTGAAAGGAAGAAGAAAAGGCAGACACAGTGCAGATGCCGAGTCCCGCCCCCCCTCTCCAAGGTTCCTTAGTTTGGGGAGATGCTCCCCGGCACAGTGTCGCCACTGTGGGGTGTGGAGGACCTTTATGCTGAAATTGCTGAGATCGAGCATGTCATTGGCATGGTTTTCTGCAACGCCACGAGCTGTCAGGAGTTTTCTTGTGTCCCTTTGGGTTTCCCTCACGCCCCTTGTCTGCCTTCAGGATGTGGGACATTTGTGCTTGGAAGGTGGCCAGCTGGCCCAGTAAGAGAGGACCATTTCTTTCTTTCTTTCTTTAAGACTAGTCAAGTGCAGTAGTGAGAAGGGGGGAAAGAGTAGAACAAGGAGTTCAATCTGTACTGACTGTGAACAATCAATTAAGATAACTCAGTACCTTTGGACCAGCCAAAAGAGGATCATTTCACGTCCCTGTCTGTGTCATGGCCATGTCAGGGCCCCCCAAAGTCATGTGGGTAGAGGGGAATGCAGTAACGTGGAGCACGGTGCCATCTGCATCCATGGTGTGGGTGCTCAGTGCAGTTTGTCTGATGGACCCTCTCTTCCTGTGAGGCAGGAGACGGCTGTGTTTTCGTCTGGGGCTATGGAATTCTTGGGAAAGGACCGTGCCTTGTGGAAACTGCTGTCCCAGAAATGATCCCACCCATGCTCTTCGGCCTTGCGGAGTTCAGTGCAGATGTCCAGGTTTCTCACATCCGATGTGGACTCAGCCACTTTGCTGCCCTAACCAGTAAGTGACCAAGCCAGCGGCCCGGAATGTGACAGGCAGAGATATGTCTGCTCCTGGGGCTGCAGCTGTGGGCTGCTCCCAGTGTCTGTTTGTCTGTCACCTGTCCATTCCTCCAGTTGTGGCACTGAGGGCCAGTGCAGGAGTTGCTGAGCTTGGGGTTGTAGAATGTGAGCCTCTTTGTCAACCTGGAGCAGACTTTCTGTCTGTTTGGTTTGTGGCCGAGCCTCCCATGGGTATGGGTTGGTGGCAGGAGAAGGGAACGGCTGGGCTCTAGGGACAAGCACCGAGTGCAGTAGTGGCTGGGAGTTGACCATGACCCTACTGCACGAGAGCCTGCTGAGGCCTGAACGAGGATTTGTGAGGTGGCCCCATGGCTTCTGGGGGGTGAAGCTCCTGCTGATTGCTGCAGCTTCAGGCGACAGTGAGGCCCCAGACCTCAGATGCAAGGCTCGGACTGCAGTAGTGCACACAGTCCTTGTATCACATGTGAGTCACATGCAGGTCATGCTGCTGCTGCCTGCCACACTCAAGCAGTCAGAGGACACTGTTAGTTGTGCTTTTGTGATCCTCAAGTGAGTTAGCCATGTCCTGCAGTTCAGAAGTCCCTCACCTTGTGCCAAGTGTTTCTCTGAGAGTCTGGACCACCAGGCTGCTTGGGTTGTTCTGGTTCCAGCTCCTGGGGCTCTGCTATGCAAGACCTGTCCTTGGGGGCCGGACTGGCATGGATGCTGAAGATTGTGTGCCACTGCCTGTCTGCAGAGAGATCGGGAGTCTTGTAGATTTTTAACCTTTTGCATTTACTTAGTTCATTTTATTTTTGCAGTGCTAGGGATTGGACCCAGGGCCTTGCACACACCACGCAGGTGCCCTGGGCCTGTGCTGCACCCTAGCTTCTTAATTACCAGCTTATTTTGGTGCCAGGGAGGTGTAAGGCCGCACATCTCTTAGGTGAGCATCCTGCAGCTGAGCTCCATCCACAGCTTTTTTTAATTTTTAATTTTTTTTTTCAATTCTGGAAACATCTCTATTAATTTTAATTTTAATTTTATTTTGGTACCTGGAATCAAACTCAGGACTTTGCACTTGCCAGGAAGGCACTAAATCCCCAGCCCATTTTTTATTTTTAAATTTACTTACTTAAGATTTCTTTTTTTCTTTAATGAGAAAGAGTTATTTAATACGTGGTTTCAGTGGTTTGAAGGCAAGGGGATAGTGTTGCTTGGCCCGGGTTGTGGTTTTCTGCCTGGCAGAGTCTTGGGCAGGCTGTGGCATCCATGGTAGGAGTCCGAGGGCACCCGTGTCCCTGTCTATATTTTGTTTTTATGGTGAATTTACTAATCCTGGTGCAAATACCCATCTTTTTGGGACATTGTCAGGGTGTGCACAGAGGGAAATACTGGAAAAGCCTAGGAAGCATTTGAGAGGAGACATCTCCATTGGCTTTTCTGCCCTGTGCCACCTGCCTTTCTGGGCCACCCCCTTTCTAGGAGACCACATGGTGCTGGCTCCTGCCCCGAGCTGGACATCACCAGGTGCAGGCTGCCCCTCTGCAGCACTGAGAGGAGCCACAAGTGGTTGATTCCACTTTCCTAAGTTGCTCGTTTTGTCTGTATACCATGCCTGAGCCTTTTGCATGAAGGGGCCAGGCTATGGTGGGGACAGGGCCTGGGCCTCTGAAAAGAGCTTCATTTTTGCAGGAGTCCTGGGGGGCCGAAAGGCTTGACTGGTGGCTGTGCACTGGAGAGCAGCACAGGGTTCCATAACCACATGCTCCTGCAGGGCAATGGCGGACCCCTTGTGCGTGGGGACCCGGTGATTTGGTGAGCTTTGAGGTCCCACAGCCTCTTAACAGTGGGGACCAGGTGTCCAACACAGGAACTGCAGCCCACAAGCCATGCAGAGACTATCGTGGGTCACCCTTTCAGAGCCCTGTGTCCTTATCCCGCGGGGCACTTCGCATGCTTGCTGGTTAGATTGCGTCCTCATTGGTAGTTTGCAGGTCCTGCCCCAGCTCCCAGCACATGCACAGACCTGCCACAAACAGTGACCTTTACCTGTGTCCTTGCCCCATGCTCCCGAAGGTGGACACGCACATGGGGAAGAGTGGATCATCCTCTGTGGTTAGGAAACCCCCTGTGCAGATTGCTCAGGGTGGGGAGGGGTGAGCAGGAGCTGAGCATGCTGTGTGCCTGTGCCTGTCCCTGTCCCAGGCTCAGCTGCCCTTGCACCTGGAGTTGTGTCTCATGCCAGCACCAGGAAGCTGCGTGCATTAGTGGATGTGCTCTGCAGGGTCCCCACGCCTTGCCCTTCCTTTGCAGACAAAGGTGAGCTGTTCGTGTGGGGCAAGAACACCCGTGGCTGCCTGGGGATTGGCCACCTGAAAGACCAGTACTTCCCGTGGAGGGTAAGGAATGCCAGGCTCGGGCCTGCACAGCCTCAAGGACTGTGCGGTGGCCGTGGCCCTTCCCAAGGTGGAACCCTGTGTTCCTAACGGTGCAGGGTTGGGGGCACCACGGGTGCTGTGGAGAGCCATGGAGATGGCAGAGAAGCAGGTTCCCTGCAGGCAGGGCGCAGTGGGGTGCAAAGGCTTGCTTCAGCCTCGAGTTCCAGTACTTGGAAGGCCGTGACAGAAAAGCAGATCGGTGAAGAGGGGGCTCCTTTCACGCTAAAAGGGACAGAGGTTGTGGAAGGAGTTGTTTGTTCTCCCTGAACACAGAGCATCTGTGCACGGTGCAAGCATATTACAGGAAACAAGACTGCCCACTGGGTCTCTTTTCCTGAGATAGCCAGGACCCTGTGTGCTCGAGTTCCTTCTAGGTGCACAGGGTGGACTTGGGCTGACCCGGGCTGCTCTGCAAGGACCACGCATCGGGTTCAGGCTAGGATGCCTCTGACTTTCAGCTTCCCTCTCGTGGTTGCTGCTGTGCTCCTCTGTCTTGGTGGCCTCAGGGCAGCCAAGTGGGTGCTCTGCAGTCAGGTGGCCTCCAGGGCCCGCCTACCTCTTCCTACCTTCCAGAATAACTAAGTGGAGAGCAGTGGGCCAGGCCTCGTCTTATGCTTCAAGGCAGCCACTTGCTTTAGGACCTCGTAACCATGGAGAGTGATGTTCCTTAGCTGACTGTAGCCCTGTTGGGTTCACTTGGGCTATGTGGGGACCTGGGTTCTGCAGCTGTCCCACCATGGTGTTGGGAGGGCATATTGCCTTTTTTCTAGGCAGGGACAGCAGGGCTGAGCCCTCTGATCGGGACACAGCCATGAGCCTAGAGCTGCCGCCAGGGGGAGCTGGAGCCTGGTGAGCTGCGGCTCCCAGAGGCCTCAGCGTTGACTTTGTCCTGGCCAGTGCTGAGGCCCGAGAGGTCAGCGTAGCTTTAGGCTACAGTGGCCAGGCCATTTGGGGACAAGGATGTAGGTACTGAAGGGCTGCTGGTGGGCCCTAGATACGTACCGAGCAGGGCTTCTCCTGAGGAAAGGTAAATACCATGTCTCTAATGGCCTGGGCTGTTGCTAAGGACCACCTGGGCGTCACCACGGTGGCAGCACGTTTTCCTGCTGCTGCTGCGGGGCACACAGTACGTTTGCAAAGCTGTGTCTGGCAGATTCTGCTAGGGCTGTCTGGGGAGCGGGGTAAGGGTGGGGAGAATGGCTTGGCCCAAGCCCTTGTGCTTGTTTGCCTGGGCCCCAAGTCCTTGATGGCCTGACGTCCCCAGTTGGAGATGTGGAGGGAGCTCTAGGGACAGTGTCGGCTACCCCTGCGCTTCCTGGCTTAGGACTCAGTAAACTGCACTGCAAACTCAGTGCCCCTTGCCAGTTGGTGATGCCGCGTGGCTGAGCACTGCTCTAGGCAAGGATGGGCTGGGGTCATCAGGGCGGCATCCACATCCTGGCAAAGATCTGCAGGGCTGGCTGCGCCGGGCACTGCCTTCGCACATATCACTTAGGAAGAATGAGTGGGCATTCGTCTCCCTGACATCAAGACCCTCTGAAAGTCAGGTCTGGTGTGTCATGCCTGTAATCCCAGCATCCTGGGGTTTGAGGCAGGAGGATAGCAAGTTTAAGCCCAGCTGGGGTTAGTGAGACCCTGTCTTAAAATAACAAGGGCTGGGGATGTAGCTCAGTACGCAGGACCTGAGTTCAGTCCCCAGTGCCGTACACACACACACCCTCAGGAGGGCCACAAGGATACAGTTTGTTTCCAGCAGAGAGGGAAGCAGGGGCAGCAGAGGATGGCAAGGTGGTGGTGGCTGGCTCTGGGCCCAGTGCTGGTGAGAGTGGGAAGGAGGGAGTGCCCCGGGGATTGGCTGCCCAGGGGCTCAGCCCACTGCTCTAGCCCCTCACAGGTATTCGATCCTGTCACTGCAGGGCCAGGTTATCCTGCTGGGCCCTTGTGACCTGTCTGTCCAGGTGGGCAGAACAGGTGGAGCAATGAGGCCCTGGTGTTGGGTGAGACCCACCCCATGACGTGAAGCCCAAGGGACATGGGCTGTGTCCCCATTGGGGCGGGGTGAAGGGATTGGTGCTGGCAGGCAGGATTGAGGGCTCCGAGGTGCTTGGGAAGCCCGGACAGTGTCCCCTGGAGAGGTCACTGAGCACCTGGCCTGAGAGTAGCCGGGCTGGACACAGACCAGGCTGTGTGTATGCATTGCTACCTGAGAGTGGCGCTCAGGTGGGCTTGAGCAGTTGTGGCCGCTGTGAGGGGCAGGGAGGTGGGCAGTCTGTGTTCTGGGACTGCTGCTGTCAGGCTGCCTGGTGTCTAGCCATAGCATAGGGGCTGGGTACCTCGCTGTGACCATCTCCCTTACGCCTGCATGGCATGGCCTTCTCTTTCAGGTGACGATGCCTGGTAAGCCTGTGGATGTGGCATGCGGCGTGGACCACATGGTGGCCCTGGCCAAGTCATTTATCTGAGTCCCCTTCCTGGCCTCTGTGGTCCAGTGGCAGGGACATGGCAGGGTCCTGCGCTCAGATGATCCTGCATACTGTCTCCTGGCGCCCTTGGCATGTAGTTCAGCTGTCTAGGGTGATCCCAGCTGCTGAGGAACCCAGGGCCACAGACCGCAGGTGAGGACAGTCATCATCTTCCACTCTGTCCAGCAGCTCACACTGGGTGCACGTTTTACCTGGAATGCCAGTCTTCGGTGGCCTTTGGTGGTTCCCTGGTGGAACTCAGCAGCCTCAGCCCTGTGTGCAGCTGAACATGTGCCCAACTGCCACCCTTGGGCCAGACCATGACCTGGCAGCTATCCTCACTGCCAGCCTGGGAGGCCAACCCCCTGCAGGAGGATGACTGCTCCCAACGCAGCCGCAGAGGCCTGGCTAGAGCATTGTAAAATGCATTGGAATCAGGGACATAACTTCTCTTTTCCTTCGCAAATACCATTTAAAAGTCTGTTTTGGAATAAAGTCTATTTTCTACTGGCTTAAGAACTGAATTGGTGTTTTAAAATTTTTACCTGAGCTGGGAATAGTGGTTTACCTGCAATCCCAACATTTGGGAGGCTGAGGCAGGAGGATTGCCTTGAGTTTGCGGCTAGCCTAAGTTACAATGGTGAGCTCAAGGCCAGCCTCAACTACGTAGCAAGATTGCCTCAAAAAACAAAATTTTTTTGTCTGTCTGAGACAGTGTCTCTGTTATGCAGTTCAGGCTGGCCTTGGGCTCACTTTGTAACTCAGGCTGGTCAAACTTGCACCTAGATCCTCCTGCCCCAGCCTTCTGAGTGGTAGGATTACAGGCATGCGCCACCACTCCTGGCTGAAAAAAAAATTTTTTTTACTTGAGATTAGCTTTTTATAAAAAAAGGTTTTTGGTTAAGAAGCAACTAGAAGTCAGTGAAGCTACCATGAAGGATAAGACAGTCCTACCCAGGATGTGTGTCTCACAAGTCTCCTGCTCTTGTGCCCAACCACCAAATGGGGTCCCATGCACAGCCTGCCTGTCCAATGCAAACATCTGGTGTGGTCTTCAGCTGCTGGGGCAAGGCGACAACAGCCTTGCCTCCTGCAGCTCACTGGGGAAGGAGGGAAGCACAATAAGATCCCAAGCTTGGGATCTGGCCTTGTGGGTTGCTGTGATAGAAATCCCTGATGCAAACAGAAAGGGAGGGGTTCCTCTTGGCCAGGTGCAGGGGCACTAGCCTGCTGATAGCTAGTGGCTTCTTTGTGCAGAAGGGCCTGGGGAGGAGGTGTAGCCCTCTTGGCAGCTGGGCCGCTGGTAGGGAGGGCAGGGCCAGTGCCTCCCAAGGTCACGCCATGGCCGCCCCCGTCTCTGCCAGCCCTTGCTTCTTAGTTTCCACACTTCCCAAGAGCACCATCACCTGAGGGCATGTATCCAACAAAACAGGAGGGTTTAGGGTAAAGTGAGGGGTCCCAGCTGTGATAGCCCCTTTCCAGTGAGTGGAAAATTCATTTCCCTTCTGGAACTGTAGTTGGCACTGACCATGACATGACAGAGCAGTGTCTCTGGGTAGCCAGAGTCACTCCAGAAGGATTCACAGACCGTAGCCCACAGTGGTGGTGGGGGGACTCTGGAAGTTAGTAGTGTTTTCCCCTTGGCACTGCAGAGATTGAACCCAGGGTCTTTACACCGAGCTGCATCCACAGCACTTTAAAATTTTGTATGTTGAGGCAGGGTTTCATTAAATTGCCTGGGCTGGGCTCAAACTTTTGATTGTTCTGCCTCAGCCCCCAGATTGCTGGGATTACAGATGTATACCACCTGCAGTTGGTGGCAGCAGGAGTGATACTTTCAGGTACCTTAAGACAGCCCCCAGCAGCAGCACAGCCCCTCAAGGCAGCCATCTGACCCTGTGCCAGGGATGACCTGTGTGATAGCTGCCTCCCTGGGGACCCTGCTGCCCTAGGAAGGAATCCTGGACTTCCTTCTGCCCAGCCTGATAGGCCCAGGCTGTAGACAGTCTCTGGAGGCCTGAGACCTGTGCTTGAAAGCTCAGCATACTGGGAGGCTGAGGCAGGATGATCACAAGTTTAAGCCTAGTCTGGGTAACAGTGAGTCTTGAAATGAAAAATAAAAAGGGCAGAGTGAAGCTCAATGCTAAGGTCCTGGGTTCAATCCCTGCTATTGCAAACAAAACAAAACCCACAGCCCCACATGGTGCAGATGCTTCAAACCAGGAGCTGGCTGGCTTGGTCTGGAGGCCAGCAGGCCAGTGTAGCTGCAGGAGGAGGCTCCAGGAGGGCCAGAGAGGTCATCTCGCTATTGCTGCCATTGCATGGTGGTAGCTCCATGCCTGACAGTGTGGGGGGCCCAAAGCCGTGGTCATTAGAATAGCGCCCAGTCGTGTCTGGTGACAACTGGATAGATGGAAGGTCCATCCCTGTAGCAGCCAAGAATTGTTCTAGGAGGAGGCCAAGGGTGAAGAGAAGGGATGAGATCCAAAGATCTGCCTGCCTCAGCCTCTGAGAGTTCTGAGATGGCTGCCATGGTGGCCCAGTTCCACTCCTTTGATTATTAGGAATGATACTAAAACACTCATAGGTAAGTTTTACATTGGGCTGCCATTTTATTCTTGGAACATTTCAATTTTTGTGGTGTTGGGATGGGACTCAGGGCCTCATGTAGGCCAGGCAAGTGCTGTGCCCTTTGCAGTGTTCCTGTGCACAAGCTTTTGTATGAGTCCAGTTTTCCAGTCTGCATAGCTGTTCCCATAGAGGCTACTATCTGTACCAACAGGATCACTTTAACCCACAGCACACCTGAGTTCAGCCCTGTGGATTTATCTCCCCGACTCCACCTTGGCCTGTACCTGGCAGGCTGGTTGGAGACTTCCCATTTTTCCATATCTGGGCCTTTTTGACACTGGGGATTGAACCTACAGAACTCTTTCCATCGAGCTACATCTTTAGCCCTTTTTATTATCTTATTTTGAGGTGAGGTCCTACTGAGTTGCCTAAGGTGACCTAGAAATTGCTATCCTCCTGCCTTAGCCTCCCAAGTGCTAGGATTACATGAGTGCATGGCTATGTCTGACCTCAGTGCTTTGGGAGGGGCTTCCAGATGGTGGTCAGGACACTTGGGGGGCGATGTCCCTGGGAAGATTCAGGGATTGTCAGGGACTCATTTGTTTTTGTGAGCCTGGCCCTGCAGCCCCTTTGGTTTTCATTCTGATCATGATGGTCCCCTCTTCCCCTGCCACTGCTGGGATGGCACATGCCACACAGTGATGCAGACTGAGCTACCCCATCTTGGTTGGACTTTTTAGCCTCCAAAACCATGAGGCAAACCTCTCTTCTGCTGAAGAAGAAACTTATGAGTGCTTGCTTAGTGTGTACAAGAGCCTAATGCTTAGAATTGCAAAACCAAAATCTCTTCATAAAGTACTCAGCTTCAGGTTTTGTTACAGCAACAGAAAACAGATCAAAACTCAGGAGTGACTGGCAGCCATCATTTGCTTTTGGACACTGTGTGGTGTACATAATGATGACCTGAAGCCATTACCCAGGGGCCGCTTGTCTTTGTATTTTTTTTTTTTTTTAGGGATTGAACTCATGACCTCACACTTGCCAGGCAGGCACTTATGCCACTAATCTAAATCCTTGGCAGGGCCACTTGTCTTGCAGCACCAGGTGACTGATTGAGCTCCTCTCACTGTGGGGCCATTTCTGAGTCGGAATGTAATGCTTGCAGCCCCTGGGTTTTTTTTCCCCAACCCCACACTGAAGAGAAAGAGTGGTATCCTTAGATAAATCTACACAAAACCAGACAGCTGTCAGCCAATGTAGTTTTTTCTCTTTTAATTAACACTTTGCAAAGTATAAAATATACTGTCTTTTGGGGGGAACATTAGGTACTTTTTTTCTCTCCATTGTATAGTACATGAATCTCGAGCATTCTGTATTTGACAAAATAAGCATGACCCCATCGGGTGGGGTAGGCCTGCTGCTTGTCACCTGCATCCAGGTGGGAACCAGCGAGGGCCGTTGCTGCTGCTGCTGCTGGTGACCTGGGTGTGCCACGCTAGGTGCGGGCAGGTGGAGGGGCCTCAGGCAGGAGCGCCCCACACCCCTCCCACTCCCCCATCTCAGGATAACGGAAATGATTTTGGCATAGAGCAAGAGGGTTTAGGGGTTACTACTTGTCCTCAGAGCTTTCCCGTTTTGGAGTCAACCCTGCCTCAACTATTCCTGGGCCATTTTCTCAATAGGTAAACTGAAGCAGTGGAAAGAAAATTATACTTGGCCTGTCTTGGGACCTGAATTTGGCCTGCTTTTTGTGCCCCTGCACTGGGGTCTGTAATTTCTAGGAAGTGCCCTTCAGCGCAGGTCCCGGCCCACAACCTGTCTCATGAACACTAGGAGACCTGAGGTATCCACACAGCGGAGGGCCTGGCCAAGTCAGGCTGGCTGCTTGGATGGCTGGGCTGGGCTAGGGACACCTCTGCCCCTCCACAGGGCAGGCGCAACACGCCAGTTTCACACTCTGCCTTTAAGCCAGCCAAGTGTCCCCATGCGGTCACCTCTGTCCAAATACTGTATGAGGCAGCTTGTTCCGAGCCGAGCCCAGCACATGCACACTCATGCTCACACACACGCACGCTCACACGCACGCATAAGAACCACATTCGGCACAGCTCTGCCACTGTCGCCTCCCCAGGAGAGCAGCCTCCTCCCTTGGTCTGGAGAGAGGGACAGTGATGCTTGGGCCTGTGGTTTTGCTGCTTCTAACTTGAAAGAAAAATACCTCAGAGGGGCTTCAAGATGCAGGAACAGGCTATCTAGCTACACACTGCTCCCTCCTTCCCAGCCATCTGACCCTCTATGGGTGACCCCACCAGCCACTGCATGTGGCTGCCTCCCTCCAGGCCTGACTCTGCCTGTTCACAGCGCCTCTGGAAACCCAAGAAGAGGCTAAGCCTCTCCCCTGTTTATGCCCACTCAGCAGCCATGTGGTCCCCTGCTCCCCGTGGGCAGAGGTGGGGGTCCCCTTCCTCTCCCCCTGCTTTGCTCAGAAAGGGACATCAAATTCCCATCACAACAGGGTTGCAGTACTCCACGGTCACCTGGGAGCATCCTGAGTCCTCTCTCCTAGTTAAGGACAGGAATAGCCCACATCCAGCTTAGAGACTCAAAAGGTGGTTAGAGAACCCAAAAGTTCTGTCAAGGAAATATAGTGGCTCAGGACCCCTCTGAAAATCACCCATCAGCTGGTCTTAGACTGAGGCCCGTCTCTTCCCATCTGCCACAATCCCCTCCTCACCTCACTTCCCTGACACCCTCAGTCCCTCAGGACACAGGACTCTCCTGCTGGGCACTGGGGCCGCCTGGTTATGTCCCTCAGCTCTCCCACCAGGGACCTGCTGCCTGGGCTGTTGGTGGTGGTGGGGTGGTGGTTGGGCGTCCAGGATCCCCCAAATCTTGGGGAGGGGATGTTACAGAAGTCAGGGTTGGGGCTTCTGTCCCTGGAACTGGCAGTCACTGCTCCCTCCCCAGATGCTGGGCTCCTCATCATGGGACCTACACAGGGTGGGGTGGGGAGCGACATCAGGGTAGTGTCCACACTGTGGGCATTTTCCTCCCTGGAAAGGCTGAGATGTACATTCTCAGGCCTGGGGGCGGATCTGGCCTGCTCACCCACGGCATGGTTGTATACCTAGCCAGGGCAAGGGGAATGGCGGCGTCCTCCTTGCCCACCCCATGCACACCTCTGCTGCTGACCTGCAAGGGGCCCTGGCATTCTGTAGCCCTGCATAGTCAGGGGACGGCATGGGCCTCTAAGGAGGTCTGCAGAAAGGTCAGGGCATACGCGCCTTTGCCAGGGCTTTGGGGACACCTTGGCTACAGTACACAAAGAGCGCAGCTTCTTCGTACAAGTCACCGGCTTGGGGAACTCTTAGGGGGCTCCCTGCAGCCAAGCAGAGGGATGCTAGAGGCAGCTCCCCCCCAGAGCAGTGGGCCTTCACCGCAGCTTCTCCCCAGATGCAAGGTCATCTGTGCTGTTCTGCAGACGGCGCCAATCCCCAACAGCAGCCCCAGCCAAAGAACCCGGGATTTCTAATAAGCTTGGGAATAAAAAGAAAGAAATCAGGTAAGGAGCCTCCAGGAAAGAAGCCATCTGAGGGGAGAAGGCTGGAGTGTGGCCCTACGGCAGGCCAGGTGCGAGGGGCACATTCTGTTAAAAACAAGTCCCGATCGCTCTTCTATGTCAATGTTCCCCTCCAATAAAACACAGGTGTTATAGGGGCCACGGCTGCAGAAGTGGAGGTGGGGAGCCAGAGCAGGTCAGGGCTGGCCCTCCACATGGCCATGTGGTAGGCTCTGTGGGCTGCTGATTTTCCCGCTCTCCAGGGAGGCCTGCGGGGCCCACCAATGACACATCATCATATTGCCGTAGACTCAATAGGTGGGGGCTCAAAACCTCGTCAGTGGGCGGGGCCTCGCATCCACGCACTCACAGCACGCACACAGAAGGGGGAGGTGTGTGCCCGCACCCTGCGCACAGAATATATTAACATATATATTGCTCAAGTATATATGCTATTTACAGTATATATAGATCTATATCAACATAAAACACAGGTATTTATAGGTGCGTATAACAGGCAGTCCTAGAAGTCTAGGGGCTACACAATTCAAGAAGCAGACAGAAAGGGGTGCCGAGGGGGGCGCCCCGGAAAATAAAGGCCTTCTACAGACAGGGAATGAGGGGCATCAGATACAGCCCTGCCCATTCAGCCACCTCCCTTTTGGGACCAGCAAACAACTGATTAGATTTGGTTGCTTCTAGGGTTTTGTGCAAAATGAATTAATTTAAAAACCAAGCAGAAAGTGGGTTTCTACTTAGTATGCTGGGCTCCTCAAGGGTCACACGCAGTGCCTGGCCTAGGGGTACCCCCGGCTGGAGAAGCAAGTGGCCCCTTCTTCCGCCCCTGCTGGGTCAGCATGGGGCCAGGGCCCCAGCCTGGGAGATACCTCTCAGACCTCTGTCCCAGATGCCCCTCAGGAGACAGCTTCTTCACTCTCACCAACCCCAGGAACCACATGGCCCCCAGCAACTTAGCCCTAGACCCCTGGGGAGAACTTGGAACCCATCTCTGGAGAAAAGAAATGACAGCCAATAGCAGCCCGGGCACAACTGCAAATATGTTAAACAAAAACTAAAACGAAGCATGATTTTCTCTATTAAGGCTCAGTTAAGCTGCCTCCTGGGTCAAGTACTGTGAACACCCGGCTCCAGAGGTCAGGGCAGGCCAGCAGGCGGGGTGGTGGGGGCAGAGGCCACTTGCATCCCCCAAATGTGGGGTGTGGATGGGGAGGCTGGTGGGGAGCCCTGTGCTGGTCTAGTCGACTGTCTGGGAGGTGGGGGTGACCTAAGAGACCCCGAGTGCAGAATGCTGGGGAGGGCCCCGATAGGGAGAAACCAAGACTCTGCCTGCTCAAGGAGGGTCCAGGAAAGTAGAGGATGAAGCTGGTGCTCTGGGCTGGTGAGTCCCCAGGGGAGCGCTTAGGGGATGTCTGCACAGGGCCCCTCTTGGCAGTTGTGCTGGGGGTGGGGTGCAAGTTTTGGGGTTGGCAGGTGGGGTCTGGATGGCCCGAAGCCTCCATTCCAGGGGAACCAGCCTTGAGCCCTGGGAACAGGGCGAAGGGACCACTATGGTCAGCCCCTCACCTTTTGGGGCTCCCAGGACTCCCCATGCCCAGCCCCCTTCTGCCAGTCCCTCAAAAACAGCCCCAGGAGGAGATGGGGCTGCTCCTCTGCCCCCTGGGCCTCAGATGCCACTTTCTGGGGTGGGCTGGAGAAGGCAGTCCCTTTCTGAAGGGCGGTGTCCCTGGGTCGTGCTCATCTCTGGAGAAACTCTGTGAGAACACGCTGGGGTAGCATTGGACAGCGACTCCCTTCAGTGCTTCCCCGCCTGGCTGACCTTCAGGGTGTTAATCACCCCACCAATGTTCTCCTCTGGAACCTGTGGGCCCGAAGCAGAGCCGTGAGCTGAAACTGCTGTCCGACCCGGCCCTGTCTGGCCCTGCACGTCCCCAGCACTCACCAGCGCGTGGTCGAACTTGAACGTGCTGATGTAGTAGGCAGGGATGTCAGCCGCGGCCAGGGGCTCCGAGATCTGGGCCACGATGCCACACTCGTCTGGGGAAACCAGGCAGAATGCAGCCCCGTGAGGCTGGGTCCCCTCTCTTTGTACCCGGTCCTCCAGGAGACGCCTAGGGGATCCCTGACCCACTGCCCAGCAATGCCTTCCACCCTCAGGGCTCCTTTCGCCTGCTGGGACTACTTTGCCCTTCACCAGTTCCTGCCCACACCTTCCCTGCCGTCCTGAGTTCACAGTGGGCAGAGCAGAGGCTGAATGGGCGGCCAGGAGGAGGGCTGTGGCTTTGTCTGTCTCACTTGGACCCTTTCTTTTTTTTTTATCGGTACCGGGGACCGCCTGCTTGCAAGGCAGGTGCTTATGCCCTGAGCTAAATCCCCAGCCCCAATTCAAGCCCTTTATACTGAACGATCTCCCCACTCGTGTTTTTTTTTTTTTTTGTACTGGGGATCAAACTCACAATTGGGCGCTTGCCTCAGCCTTCCAATGTGCTGAGATTACAAGTGTGGGAGATCACATCACCATATCTGGCCTTAATTTTTGAATTAAGGGAAAATAAAAGCCCTCTGATCACATCTGTTGCTTGCCCGTACCATTCCCTGGATGCCTACACACATCTGACACACTGATCCAGGGATCCCTTGGACTGGGGACTTCAGCCTTATAGTCTCCCGGTTTATTCGACCCAGCAGGGGCTCACCGAATCCCAGGGGCTGCCCTCCAATCCGCACCATCTTCCACAGCTCTCCAGATGCACTGGTGAACAGCAGGTTACTGGGGAACCTGTGGTGAGAGGAAGCTGGGGCTGATGTTCAGAGCGCTTCCTGCCTGCCTGTCCTCCCCTGGTGCCCTGTCTGTGCCCTTCTCGACTGGGCAGGGGAGGACAGGGGAACCATGCTAGGTCAGAGCTTTGGAACAAAGGACACCAGGGTGATGGGGCACTGCCCTGCTCATCGAGGGACAAAGTGGGAGGCCTGGCCTGGCCAGCTCACCTCTGCTGGGTCTGCACGTCCATCACCAGAGAGATGTAGCCCTCGATGAGGGAGAAGGAGAAGAAGCGGATATGGCCACAGTCCTCACCAGCTGCCGTGGGGTCCTTCACCCTGGGAGTGGGGAGCTGGTGAGGAGGGTCCCCACCATACCCCCTAGAAAGCTGGGCTAAGCCTGCCCTGTTCTAGGCATCTGCAGGGCCAGGTACCACACTTCCCAGTGCCCCTGTGTGTCCCCAGCCCAGGCTTCCAGCACAGGCTGTGATCACTGCCAGCTCAACAGACCTGCCACACCCGACTTGGGTGCTGCCCTAAGCTTGGTGAAATCTGTTTTGAGGACAGATGCAAGATTTGTATCCCCCAAGGGAACTGAGTTTTCCACCGCTCAGTGGACTGGGACTACGCAGAACTCAGGGAAGAGGGGTTCAAGCCCATTGTCCCTATGGCACCGAATCCAGCACATCCCAGGGAGGTGTCTCCCCCTCAGACGGGGGCTTTTACAGGTCCTGAGCCTCCCCTCAGCTGAGCCCTTGGTGCCAACTGCATTGTCCTATGCCCACTCGGGGGGCCCTACCTGCTGGAATAGAACATGACATCCATGAGCAGCGTAGCCACGGCAGGCAGTGTGTCAGGGTCCAGGCTGGTGACGCAGAACCTGTTGCTGGGGCTGGACAGCGGGTGGATGACTGGCCTCTGGACTGTGAGGGCACAAAGACATGGTGCTAGGGCCAATGTGGAGTGCAATGGTGATGCCAGGCGGCCCAAGAATGGGGCTGGGCAGGGCCACTTGCAGGCCTGGGAAGACCCGCCCATTGCCTCTCTAGCCTCCACTGCCACCAAAAGCTGCCCCTGGGCCTTTATACATCCTTCCTAGCTGTCACCACCCAGGCTAGTTCCTGCTGTGCTCCCACTTCCACCCCAGTCTCTGTCCCTGGGAACCACCCTGACACCTTCGGCCATCACTGGCTGCATCCTCATCTACTGTCTTCCCAGCACGTGAAGGCGCCACGTGAAGCCTGGTGTTGGCAAATGCTCGGTAGGTGGACAGAGCTTTGGTGTGGCAGGGAGCCCTGTGCAGACCCACCCCGACTCACCCATCTTGGGCCTTACAAAGCCGTTGGTGATACCCAGATTCTCAGCTGCCACCGTCTCGCCATTGACGACCCGCAGGATGGTGAACTCTGATGACAAGGTGTGGGTGACGAAAGGAAGGTCTCGCTCGCGTACCTGGTGGGGAGGGTAGTATGGAAGCAGTGAGTGACGTGGTTGGGCAGGGTGTGTGTGGTTAGGAGGTGTGTGTACGTGTGCGTGCACACAGGCACCTGGGCACTCACCAGGATGAAGTCTGTCTGGTAGGTGGACAGCATGAACACTGAGATGTTCTGGTCGGCCAGTGGGGCAATGACTGACTTAGCAATCTTGGTCACACCGATGGGCTGGGAGCTGGAGAAGCTGCCACCACCGGATACCACGTTGAGGGCCACCCAGGTGGCATCTGCTACACTCATGTGTTCTGAGCAGGGCAGCTCTGTAAAGGTGACACAGAGGTGGGCCTGTGACTTCGGGGGACCTGGGTGGGTGCAGGCCGCAGAGGCATGACTGAGTCCCTCTGGGAGTCAGCTTTCGCCTTTATCATCAGAATGAGACCTCCCTCAGACACAGCCCAGAGAGCCCAGGCAGGGAAGGACCTTGGCTAGGTGGGAACCACATAGGTCTGGCTTATCTGTCAAGCCTGTTTCCCCAGCTATAGAATGGAACCAGCATTGCCTTTATGATTATGCAGTTATTAGAGGTATAACAGATGTCACCATCACCACTGAGGCCCTACCTGTCACGGGCCCTGTGGCTTTCAAACTCAGTTCCCCAGGACCTCTCAGGGCTGGCTGAGGGCAGCTAGGGAGGGAGGTTGGGGCCGTTTCCTCCTGTGCTGCCTATAGGGCTTTGCTAGAAGAACATGTGGCTAGGAGGGGGGAGGGCTTGATGGTGCTGCACTGTGACAGGCAGTGACCATCACCCAACTGTACCCTGATAGCCTGGGCTCTTTGGTTACTGAGTGTGTAGGGTGGCTCAGAGAAGCTGCTATCACCATTTCCTGGGCAAGCTTATGAAGCCCCAGAATCCACAGCGCTTCCCAGTACTGTGTGAGCGCACACTGAGACGCAGGTACTAGGGCGTATCTGTCATGATGGACACACGCCAGAACCCCAGCATGGCAGTGGGGTTCCTCATGCACTGCAGGGCGCCTGCTCAGACCTACACTGTACCAGACCCAGGGCAGGCAGGGGACCAGACACTTGGAGGCAGATCTGACCCTGTGCTGCCCACAGAGCCTGCAAAGGACACAGGCTTGCTGGATCCAGATGCCCCAAAGGCTCAGTGATTTGCTCAGGATAACTTACGAAGTAACAGAGCTGTAGCTCCACTTGGGCTTGGCTCAGAAACCCTGGCTCTCCCCTGGCCATTGTGTGGGAAGGAGCACTCCCAAAGGAGACAGAGGCTTCTGAGGCTGGGGGAGAAAGTGAAATCGAGACAGGACTATCCGGGTCCTTCCTGCCTAGCCCTGGTCGCCACGGTGATCACAGCCTCTCAAGCTCCTGCTAGCTGAGAGGGCCTAGTGGCCAAACTGAGAGGCAGGGGCCTTCCACCAGGGATTCAGGATCCAGGTCCCTAGGGCCAGTCCCAGCACAAAGAACGGGCTCCCCAGAACCTAGCTGCCTGTCATGCTTCTGGAACTCTCCCAGGCCTGTGCTTGGCTGTGAGGGGAGCTTGGGTGTGTGTATGAGACCTCCCACCTCCAGGTTGTGCCAGTACACAGACCTGGAAGCCACTGGGGTGCTCAGTATTGCTAAGTGGTCACCCTCTGTCCCTGGTGTCAGGCTCAACTTTTGTTGGGAGTCAGTACAGCCCCCTCCAGTACACTGAGCGATGAAAGTAAGATGCCCCTGTCCCTTTTTTGCAGTACTGGGGACTCAACACAGTGCCACTGCTCTAGTATTCTGCTATATCCTCAGCCCTTTTCCCTTTTAAATTTTAAGGTAGGTTCTCAAAAAGCTGCCCAGGCTGGCCTCCAACCTGTGAACCTTCTGCCTCAGCCTCCAGAGTAGCTGGGATTATAGCTCTGCACCACCAAACAGAGACAAAACATCCTGTTTCAATAAAACAGAAGCTGTAGAGCCTCTGTGGAAACCAGTGAGGCTGTCTAAGATACTGCACAACCCATCAGGGCTTTCTTGGCTTTGGGATTTGACTTTCTCTGCTCCAAGCTCCTCAGAACAATCTCCTTGGCTTCCCATCTACCTCAAAGCACAAGCCAGAGTCCTTGCAGTATTCCCACCAAAGCTGATCAGAAAGCTGTCGGGGATGAGACACATGGCATGTCCTGTCCCGTTTAGCCAGGCAGCCAGTGCCCCCACAGCCACAGGTACTGGAGTCTGGCTTTAATCATATTCCTTTAAATTCCAATAGTTTCCAGCGTGTGGACCAGACTGAGCAGCTCGGGAACCAGTACAGTCCCATACCGCTGCACTGCCCAAGGTGGGCTCCTCTGTCCTGATTTCCAGGAACCCAGCGCCTACTGGGCAGGTGAAGAGGCCCCATCCCCGCTGCACTCACAGATCCTTTTCCTCCCAACCCCACTCTGCTCATGATCAGTCAGCCTCTGGTCACACTGCTGGGCCGGGGGCAGGTGGGCTTGCACACCATCCCCTCAACCTCGAATGCCAGAATCGGGAGAGGGGCAGGGCAGCAGTGTCCTGGGCTGGGCCACCTCAGGGTCTTCCTTACATCAGTGAGGCCAGGCCTTCACCGTTCATCTGTGTAGACTCCAGCTGGCTCTCAGAAGCCGCGTCTTCTGTCCCTGTTTCTGAAGCAGGACACTCAGGTTCAATGTCTGGAGGTAGCAGACTTCCAGAAGTGCAGTCTGTCACTGTGCGGGGCTGGGCTGCAGGACTGCCCAATGGGCGCGGCCGCCGATGGTACAGGATCCTCTGTCACTGCCCACTGTCTGAGACTCCTATAAAGTTGTTCGAACCCAGGGCTGTTCCTGGCCAGTGTCTCGCCCTGGCTGCAGTCCTGTGCTGTGTGGCTGCATCCTTGGGTGGCCCCTGTATTTCTCCAGCTTTGTCTACCTTGTTGCACTTGGGTCCTTGGGTCCAGTCAACTGAGTGGCCTTGGGTGAAGTCACTGGCCCTGAAATATGTGTGTTTTTTTTTTTTTGAGACAGAGTCTCACAAGATCAGGCTCACCTTGAACTTGCTTATGTGGCCCAGTCTGGTCTTGAACTCAGGGTGATTCTCCTGCCTCAGGCTCCCAAGTGCTGGGATGACAGGTGTGCACCACCACACCTGGCCTTCAAACAGTTTTGAAGTGCAGGGTGATAAGTTCAGGCCTGACTCTAGAGGATGCTTTGCGGAGTCCCTGAGATGATCCCGTTATGTGCCTGTCTGCCCAAAGCTATTACCATGAAGTTGGCTTCTTGGGTGCCTTGAGCAGGACAGTAGCAACGGGGAGAAAACTAGTTTCCTTAGGCTTGGTGATGCATGCCTATAATTCCAGCATTCTGGGAGGCTGAGGCAGGTCTGCAATTCAAGGCTTGTTTAGGCAATTTAGGCCCCTTGTCAAAAATTTAAAATGAGCTAGGAATGTAGCTCAGATAGAAGTTCTGGGTTTAATTCCCAGAAGCACAAAAACCAAAAACAAACCCCAAAACACACATAAAACAAAAACATGTTTTCTAGCTGTGAAGCATCTGTGAAATGTCAGTGTAACATTTATGCCGAGATTGGGAGGTGTGGTTAAGTAGGACTGGGCAAGTAGGACTGGGGTGAGCAGTCCTGGCACGTTAGTTTCTGGTGGCTCCCCAAATGTGTCCTTGGCTGTACATGCTTCCAGTGGGACCATTGTCCTGGGAATATGGGGACCTGGCTTCAGGCCTGGGCTCAGGGTACTCCACATTCTACAGGTTGGGAGCTAGCTGAGAATCAGGAGCACCAGAAGCTGGTTTTGGAAGACCACCTGGTTTGCGACAAAGAGCAGAAGTTAAGAGATGATCCCCATCCCTACACTACACGGGGCTTCAGTATGTAAGCTGAGATCTCTCAGGGACCAGGGCATCGGCAGCGTCCTGGGGAACTGGCACTGAGTCACCCGAGTCACAAGAAATGTGGAGCCTGAGCTGGGATTTGAATCTGGGGTTCAAGACGGTGCTACCCCTCTGAGCAACACCTAGCCCCAAGAGGTACTTAATGTTTCGTTTTGTTTTGTGCTGTTTTTTGAGCCAGGGTTTCACTATATTCCCCAGGTGGTCTCCAACTTGCAGGCTTCGGTGATCCTTCTGCCTCAGCCTGCCGAGCAGCTGGGACTACTGCGCCTGACAGAAGTCAACCTGACATCTTCCTCCGCCTCTCAGCCAGTTCCTGCCGCTGACCATGCCTGCCTTAAGAGATGCAGGCATCACTGTGACCTGTCCTGGTTACAGACAAGGGGCTGGGCTGACTTTGAGCCTTGAGCCTGTGTCCCTGCTGTAGGCTTGGCCAGCACAGGGTCCTAGCCCTGAGATGAACGATGCCCGCAGACCCCAGCTGCCTCAGTACCCCCATGCAGCCCCTGCACGTCTACCCTGTCTCTGCAGGGCACCCACATTCTCTGCAGCACCCAGTCTCCCCTTTGGCATCTGGTTCCCAGCGTCTCCTGCTTCAGAGCCTGGCCACCCCTAGGCGAAGACCGGCAGAGGTTCGCTGCGTCTTCACACTGTGCCCCCCAGGCCTCCTGTGAAGTCCCCACGGAGCCTTGCTCGGCTCAGGCAATGATGTGGAGATGGATGATTATTCTTGTTGCACAGGCCTGGTGAAGGCACAGCCGCAGCCCACAGGTCGGTCATGACTCCAGGAGGCCGCTGCGCACTGTCTCTTCCCTCCAGCCCCAGCCCCAGGACACCGTGCAAATGAGCATCCCCATTCTGCACTCTGCAGTGCTCTCCCTGCCTGTCCTGCACAATCCTCTTGCCGCAACCTGGCTTCTAGTTTCTTTTTTGAGGCTAGGCCTGGCCCCTGCTTCTCCTGCCGCCCTTGCACAAGGACTACCGCCCCTGACTAGGTACCTTCCTGCCCTGGCCTCCACAGGCCTTCAAGGACAGCAAGGTCACCTCCTCCATGAAGCCCTCCCTGACCGAGTGACCACCAGAAGCTGCTTCTTTCCAGGCCCTGCTGGGGGAGGCTCCCCTGTGCTTCTAGCACCAGGGTCAGCACAGTTCAGGTGGATGTGGACTGGGAATCTTTCCAGCTCCCTCCCCTCCAAAGATGCCTTCCAGGTCTGCTCAGCCCCCACAGAAGGGCCCCTACTTCCAGCCAGCTCATCCACAGCACTGAGGGTGGGCGGTGGAGGTACACACAGTGCCTTCTGTGAGAAATTTCCCTTCCCCAGGTTAGGGCGCCCTTCTCTTTCCCAAGGTCTTACTTCCAGCACGCAGCCTCCAGGGAAGTCCTCCCAGACTGCCAGGCCTGCAGGGTGGCCTCTCTTGACGCTGTTCATGTTTAAACAATTCTTTTGCAGTACTGGGGGACTGAACCCAAGGCCTTTTGCACTAGGCTTAAAAAAAAAAAAAAAAAAAAAAAAACAGCCCCTTTGAAATGTGTTTTAAGGAAGGATCTTGCTGAGATGCTGCCTTAGCCTCTGAGTGTTGCAAAGACAGGAGTACGCAACCAAGCCTGACCACAGGTGCCCTTCGACCTCTGACCTTTACTACTTGGATGGGCTTCCTGCCTCGGCCCCCAGGATTGCGGGATCCCCAACTTCCTGGAGTCCCCAGCCAAGGTCCCTCCCACCATCTCCTGCATGGGTGTCCTTTGTGGCACCCCATTGCCTCCTCCTGCCACCGCAGGGCCACACAAGTAACTGTGACTCACACCCGGCTCCTACTGCAGAAAGCCAGGGCGGGGGGCACCGAGCAGTGGGCAGTGATTGTACCCGGGGCTTGGAGTGAGCAGCCCTGCCTCGAGATCCACGTCCCTGAGGACGGGCTGCCTGGGACCTGACAAACGGTCAGTCTTTCCATTCTGAGGGAGGAGGTGCCCACAAAGTTCCTCTGCTCTGTAGGTGCCCAGATCGCAACAGCTCTGGGCACAGGTCCAGGACACCAGCAAGAAAATGGGAATGTGTATGGCCATCCAAGGGTATAACCTTTTTGTGGGGGAAGTGATTAGGAATTGAACTCAAGACTTTCATACTGAGCTGTAGCTCTAGCCTTGAAAAAAAAAATTTTTTTTTTTTCACTTTGAGGCAGGGTGTTGCTAAGTCACAAAGTTATGCAGGTCAGGCTTGCATTTTTATTTATTTAGGTATCGGAATTGAACTCATGACCTCATGCTTGCCAGGCAGGTGCTGTGCTGCTCAGCTATACCCCCAGAAGGGCTCCCATTTCAGCTTCCCAGCCTGCCAGGGTATAGGTGTGTGCTGGGTGAAACACCATTATGCGACTAGTGCTTTGCAATAAAGGCTAAAGTCTCTGTCTGTACCCTTGTGCTCAGAAAATTGCTGGCTTGGATGCAGGGTAGGGTTTGAGGCACACACCGTGTCCCTGTGCTATGGAGCAGGAAGCCCCCTTCGGCTCTGGCCATGTGCCACCTCTCTGTGTGGAGGGACACAGTGCTTCTCCAGATGTCAGGGTCCAGGCCCAGCACCTCACACTAACTTTGTGCCCCAGAGCACACATGCGTGAACAGTAGTCATCAGGCAGGTCAGCGGGGGCCACCTTGGTCCCTTCCTCTGACCTTCGATCTCTCATCACCAGCATGGGGGGTCCCTGACTCGGCCCGGTGACACGAAGCCCACACCATGCTACCAAATGCTGTTTCTCAGCTCGACTTAGGAACCAAGCAAGGCAGCTGTAACCTGTGTGAGCGGTTTTGTAGGTTTATCCCTGGAGGAAAACAAGACGTGGGAACACTGCCCAGGACTTGGGACAGGCAGGCCTGCTGCCTGAGTGGTGGGAGGCGGGCTGGCTCTTCCCCTGCGAAGCTAACAGTGTGAGGCCCCGGCGGTCGGGTCACAAGGACCTGCACTCAAAAGAGTGGGAAGAGAAAGCGCCAAAAGGCTGCTACTACTCAGTGGTCACCTCCTCCAGGACAGGCCTGTGGCTTTTCTAAATGTCACACTGGCTGCATTGTCTGCCCGCACCCCTTATGTTGGGGACTAAACCCAGGGCCTTCCATCCCAGGCCTGGTTTTTATTTTTTTGTCTTTTTGAGACAGGGTTTTACTATGCAGTTCAACCCGACTTTGAACTCACTTTGTAGCCCAGGCTGGACTCGAACTCACAGCAATCTTCTTGCCTCAGCTTCCTGAGTACTGGGATTACAGGGGTCTGCCACCACATCTGGCCCCCACACTGCTTTTTAACATTTCATTTATGTAACTTTTTATTCGGAGACAGGGTCTCACTAAGATGCTAACCCAGGCTCAGTTTAAACTTGAAGTTCTCTTGCCTCAGCCTCTTAGAACGCTGGGATCACAAGTGTGCACCACCATGCCCATTTTCTCTGCATGTTTTGAAGGATGCCACTTATTTTGCAGGAGTCCAAGACTGCTGTCTTGTGGGAAGCAAACATAACCGTCTTCCTTTTCACCAAGCCTATGCAGATGACAAGATGGCTGTGTATTTGTGACCATCCGGCCTGTGGCCTGAGAGCACTCTGCCAATGACAGCTGTTGCTTCAGAACAGGACACATGACATAAACCTCAAAGGGCCTGGGGATGGTGGAACAGCCTGGGGGCGACCACTAGCGGGAGCTCCACTGTGGGGAGTGAGAATATTCTGGAATCTGGGGTGGGGGAGGGGGGGTCTGGGCACTCACCCAGGAAGCCCTCCTCGTCCACGATGATGGTGTAGTCCTCCGGCGTCTCTGTCAGACTAAAGAACTTGCACCTGAGTGGACAGACACACACAGGATGTCTGGTTATTCCTGGCATGTACCCTGCGGCAGCCACCCCACCCATGACCGGCCAGGGTGTGCCTCAGTTTACCCAGAGCCCTGAGGGGGTCCCTGCGTGACTTGGGGAAGCTGCCTGTCTCACCTTCTGTGATGGAGTGTTTGTGGGGCGGAGGCTAGGAAGGATGTTTGCTGTGTATGTGGCTTCTGATCCTTGGGGATCCCCAAGCCAGGCCCCAAGGCCTTGTGTGCCGGCCCGTGAGAATTCTGACCTCGAGGAAGGCTCAGCAGGGGTGTGACCAGTGGGATTCCCACACTGTCCCAGTCCCTCAGTTCCTGGTCACCATGGTTGGATTCTGTTCCTCCACAGCGTGACCGTGGCTGCCTGGGACATTTCCAGGCAGCAGCTCATCTCTCCCAGAACTTCCCCAGGGTGCGGCAGGTGCCTAGAGCAGGTGACGCCAGGCCTGAGGGGGGTGCAGGGGCTGAGCGAGGATGGTGGTGTCCAGTCCCTGTTTCCTCTGCAGCCAGCACTGCCCAGAGCAGGCAAAAGGCAGGTGTGCGCATGCCTGGGGTGGGGCTGGGTGGTGACAGCGAGGCCCGGAAACCTACTGGAATAACCCAGGGCCGCAGGAGATCAAAGCAGAAATGGAATTTGAAGGCCACATGGGTGCTCCCTCCTCACCAGCTGCCTGGGAGCCTACAGATGAAGACCTTTGTGACGGTGGCTCCTCCTGTGTGCCCGACCCCAGGGAGCCCAGCATCTGCTGCACATAGCCCCCAGACTGGGTCACCCCGAAGTGTGGTACAGGAATCCCCGCAGGGATAAGGAAGAAGTCACCCCGATCTCACAGGTATCCATCTGGTCAAACCAGAGAAGCCACACCTGCATGGTGACCTGCAGTGACTGTACCAGCAGCACAGAGAAGCTGCAGGGCCACGTTCCTGGTTACCCCAGGGGCTCCAGCAGGCTGGTACACACGGGGGTCCGGGTCTGCCCTGCCTCTTATTTTGTTTTGAGTACAGGGGTTGAACCCAGGGCCACTGCACTGAGTTCATCCCTTTTTATAGACAAGGTCCAGCTAACTTTCTAAGTTCCCCAGGCAGGACTCCAACTTGTGATTTTCCTGCCTCGGCCTCGCAGGGAGCCGTGATGTCAGACAGGTCTGGGCCACCAAGCCAGGCTGGTTCTGCTCCTTGGCTGTAGGTGTGGTGGTCTGGCTGCCGGTGTGTCACAAACCTGGCCTGAGGGGAGCCCAGGTGCAGGGGTGGGAAGAGGCAGCCTTGTGTCTCTCTGACCTTCTTCTAGACCACCAGCATAGTTGCTGCCATTTCCTGCCATTTCAGAACGATTTTCAAATTACATCTGTTCCTGACAGTCCCATAGTCCATCTGCAAAATGCCTGCAAACCATCAGTGTAGCGAGTGGCAATCGTCGGTGTAATCTGGCTGTTTCTCAGAGTCCCTGTGTACCTGCAGTTCCCGACTGCCATAAGCTGGTGGGCACTGAGAAGGACACTCCAGAAATAGCCACAGGAATTCTTCCCGAGGACACGGGCATAAATAAGCGGCCAGAGCGTTTGTCCCCTGGGCCAGCATGGCCCTGCCAGCTGTCGATGTCTGTCATTCGGCAAGGTGCACAGGCAGGCCTCCAGCAGGGGCACTGACTGCTCTTGCTGGAGTCACCGAACTCAGAGGCAGCGCAGGTCCTTCAAGGCCTAGTTCTAGAACCTCCTCAGGGGCAAATCCTTCCCTAATCCAACAGCACCAGCCACCTCCTCTGCCACCACAGACATGGTCCATCCTTGATGACCCATGGATTCCTGCAGGAAGAGGGTCTCGAGACCTCAGTGCATGGCATACTGGTGATACTTTACAACTCTAGGCGGAATTTCTTCATGTAGTCTCTGTGAAACATGCCTTTAGAATTGAGCAGTGCCCAACCTGTATAACTGCGCATGACAGGCCTGCGTGCTTTCCAGTTTATTATCAAGAAGACTTTGGCAGTCTGTATCCTTCAGTAGACACTGTGCTCTCAGGTGGGGGCACTCGGCCTTGGTACACACACGCAGTACCTGACGCTGTCTGGACTAGGCTCAAGCACTACTCATCCCAGGTAGGTGGTTACAGTAACAGGAAACTGCTGACCAACACTGCTGGTGTGTGTGCACACTGTGCAGTGCTTGGGATGGAGCCCAGCAGCCCAGCAGCCCAGCAGCCCAGCCTGGCTCCCCAGGTGGCCAGAGATGGGGTGGGCGAAAGGACCCCAGCTGCCCAGGGCAGAGACACCCCAACCTGTGATCCCTGTCTGCCCCAGGGCCAAAACTACAGCCTGAGCCCACGCCTGGTGAGACTTGGGGATTCACAGGTGTGCAGGGGGCCCACAGGCCAGCCAAGCAGACTGGCGCGGCGGGTTTGGACCTGTGCCTGGCCAGTGGAGCCAGGGCTCCTTCCTGGGAGCCTGGACACTTCACTAGGCCCTCTGTGAGCTAGCAGGGTACAGCAGGACTTCACATACAATGCTGCTGCACCTGAGCCAAGGCCGGAATCCCGAAGGGTCGGGACACATGCACTGGCCAGAAGATGGCCCAGCATGGCTCACAGTGGAGGCTTTGGCTGCACTCAGCCTGCAATCCCAGCACTGGAGAGGCTGAGGGAGGATGATCTCCCTGAGTTCAAGGGCAGCCTGAGCTATAAAACAAGCCCCTCTCTCAAAACAACAACAATCACAATGACAATGACAATTTCTAAAAGGAGCTAAAGCCTTCCCTTGGCCCATGTCATGTTCCCCAAACACAGGGTGCTTTGGTGCCGACCATGGACCTCCTGCCAACAGGTTGGTCCTGTGGCTTTGCTCTGGATGCCACTGGCCCCCAGGTGCCACTCATCAGCTGCTTCAGATCTAGACTGCAGGCGCTCAGCCAGCAGCCAGAAGACAGATGCCTGACTTGTGCCCTGAGGCCACCTGCCCTCCTTGTCCCCGTCCCCCTGCAGGCTCTGGCCAGGGTCATAGGCCCTGCTTGCCAACAGACACACCTGGCCCCCGAGTGGTACCACTGGTGTCCCGGTGGCCTCTTCCAGCTCCTTCCTGCTGCCTGAATAGCATGGCACTGTCATTGAAGGCCCAGGTCACAGTGAAGGCCTCGTCATTTTCACGACGTCCAGAATAGCCTGGATATGGGCCGCCTCCTCCCAGAAGAGGAAACCCTGACACCCATGTGTCACAGGACCAGCGGATCTCATCTGTCTGGTGAGTAGCAGCACTTGGTGACTTTTTGGTGATGTGCACAGGCAGTGTTAGAAGGGATCTCAACGAAGTCGCTTGGCCCAGGCCAAGCACCCTCCCCAGGGCACCGCAGGCCGAGGGACAGGAATGGAATGGGGCATCCCCCTTGCTTTTTTTTTTTTTTCTTTTTTATTGGCACTGGGGATCGAACCCTTGACCGCCTGCTTGCAAGGCAGGTGCTTATGCCGCTGAGCTTTACTCTGGGTGAAGCCCCTCCCCCTTGCTTTTTGGTTCCCCTGTAATCTCAGCAAACTTGGGCAGACAGGGCAGTGTCCTTTCCTTTGTGACCCTGCACATCTGCTGGCCACACCCATCACCACTGGGTGACAAGTCACCACCACGGCGTCCACAGGCCCAGCTCTGCAAAGGTGGCCCCCTCACTCCACTCTGGGGGACACGCAGCTCTCCTGGGGTCCCTGGCCCCACACTTAGTCCAGGTCTGCAGGCACAGTGAGGGGTCCTAAAGGACCCCCGTGGCTGCTTCAAATCCCCCAAAGGTACCAGACACTCACACACCAAGTATCCTCTGATACAAAAGGGTAAGGTAATATAGGTGACCCTCATACTTCCTTTGTGGATGTGCATTCCCTCCAGGGAACCTACAGTCCCTGGCCAAGGCCAACACACAGCTCTGTTCATGAAGTTTTATGTAGGACTCAGCTCACAGCATAGGCAAGTTTTTTTTTTTTTTTTTTTTTTTTAGACAGAATCTTGCTTTGGACCCCACATAGGGTGAACTTGAAATCTTCCTGCTTCAGCCTCCTGTGTGCTGGGATTACAGGCTTGTGCCACCATAGCCAGCCAAATCCAAGCTAGCCTCTAGGAATTTCCCAGAATTTTTTCTCCCTAGTAGTTTTAACCCTCCCTTGGGACGATCGCCCCCATTTCAGAGATGGGAACACTGGGGCCCAGGTGGCTGAGGCAGCTGCTGTCTTGGCTCCCTGTGACTCAGCCTTTCTGTCCAAGGTCCCTAACTAGACAGAGCTGTAATGGAGTCATGGACTCCAGGACCTCATGTGCTCCTAACACAAGCCTGGCTGTGGATCAGGTGTCCATCAGCAGTGGGGAACAGGAGGGCAGGATTAGCCAGCCCTGACACTGACTAGTCACACAGACATGTTGGATTCGTGAAACCAGAGGAGGTGGAAAAGCAAGTCCCCAGGATCACGTATAGCTTGGCACACTCTCTACAGATTAGACAACACACAAGGCCAGGCCTGGGGTACATAACTGTGATCCCAGCACTCAGGAGGCTGAGCTAGGAGGCTCACTAAGAATTTGAGGTCAGCCTGGGCTACAGAGTGAGTTCAGGGCCAGCCTGAACTACATGGTAAGACCCTATCTTAACAAAAGAAAGAAAACAATGAAAAGAAAAAAAACCAAAAAGCCAGAAGAGGCCACCTGGCCAACACACAGGACACAGCTGTGGACAGCAGGACACCAGGGCTGGTGCGTGTTGATCACAGCAGTGGCATGTTTGTGGCTTGGGCCTCAGGGCCCAGGGCTCCATCTCCCAGGTGCCCAGTACTTACTGTCTGGGTCCCTGTGCGGGCAGGGCTGGCCAGGAAGCAGGAATTCACCTGGTCCCGTCTTGGTCTAAGGACCACAGCGCTTCCCTCTGGCCCTTGGCGGTACAGCAGTGCTCTGGAAGGGTGATGCTTTTGGAGTTGGGGGCCTGGGCATCAACGCATCACCTGGTGCCTGAGTCTA